TTCGATCGAGTGGTTGTTACATGTGATGAGAGTAAATTGAGCTGCAGTTCTACTTTGAGCATCATTAGGTTCAATAAAACCATTGTAACCAACAGTGCAAGTGTAACATCTCTTTAAGGATAAGATGCGGATTCTTTTTTCTTTCTTTTTTCATGACTTTTTCTTTTCTTGTTATGTTTTAGGCTCTTACGTTTACATGTGTGTGTTTCGGTGTATAGTGCTAAAGTGGGTTTCTTTTAACCCTTTGTGCTCAGATTTTTCTTTTTAATAAAGCGTTTTAGATCAAATATGATGAAATGATGATTTTTTTTTACTACTGATAGTACATATATAGTGCTAATGATCTGTTATTATTTCACCTGTATATCTCACCACACAGGAGGCTTGCTAAGGGATGTTTTGTCATCGTTTTGTTAAACATGCTTTGCACCGAATACGTCATACCACACTTGTTTCTAACGGAAAATTCTTCATCTAGTAAGAACATTTACAATATGTGTATTTAATCCAAAGCTAGCCTTGTGATTGTCGTGAAGTTCACGATTCTATTGTAGTTCATTAGTAAAACGATTATTAATCAATAGAGGCATTAATCAGCGATCAAAATTATACCCATGTATCCAGAGTTTATTTCATTAACTACCGATATGGCTAATTTAACAACAGTTCATGGACCTGAAGAATATCACTCAACTTTCATCGCGATCCTCCACCCTGGTGATTCAGATGAACGTAGATCATATTATCATGTAAAGAGTTCAACAAACTATGTGTTAAAAATACAAATAGCTTGCGATTTTCGTCATCGAATAGTGCACGTGTCTGAATGTTATAAAGGAAGTGTACATGATATCACAATACTAAGAGAGTCGGGGTTATTAGAACATGTAAACGACTCTGTGCAAATTATTGCCGATAAAGGATACATCGGTGAAGATTATGTGATCACTCCAAGAAAGAAGCCTCGTGGACGCAACTTAACTTCTGAAGACAAAGATTTTAATCGAGATATTAATAGTGTAAGAGCGGCTATTGAAAATATCATGCGTCTGAAAACCCATGCTCTTCTCGGCGGCATTTACAGAGGAGCTATTGATGATTTTCGTAAAATAACTAAGATTGCGCAAGTTGTCTCAGCTCTATGTAACATGAATTTAGACAAACAGCCTATTCGTAAATAAACAATAAAATAAGTTCTATTTTTTGAATAAATAGAAAATTCTATTGATCGATAGGGTAGATAATTAAATATGTTATCCTTTCAATCACCATTCTGTTTGATATTTTTCATGCATATATGAGAATAAATATCTGTACTATAGAACACCGAAAATTTTTAAAGTAAAATTCAAACATTGGGTTGGTTGAATGTGTGGTTGGTTGCTCGTACACTTTCAACAGCTCAAATACTGTTTACATAGTACTGTAGAGCTTGTACTGTAGTGATACGATAGAAAAAAAATGAAAACATGAAATAGAAAATAAAGTTTAAGACTTTCTTCTAAATTCTGTTAATTCTTTCTCAAATCTGTTAATGAAGAGTCTGATTATTGCGTATTAAATTAATCATTTCAGAATTCTTGAAATATCTTGACAAGATCTGGTTAAGATTTATCAGGACAGGTTCTGATACAAAACATTTTATCTTCCTTCATCCACCATATAGTTTTGAGCTCATTATCGTTTAAATTCATTACGTTCATTAAGACATTTCGAGTACGGCCGGCAATGTCTTAATCAACTTAATGAATTTAAACGATAATGAGCTCAAAACTATATGATGCAGGGAGGAAGATGCGGTCTATAAAATGAGGTATTTTTTAACTAATCATCTCTTAAACTTAATTAACCAGGATTTGTATATTAAAATTCCATGTATTTGAATGGAGTGTCTCTATTTCCCCCAAGTATACAAGTGTTAAATAACAGAAGAATAATTGGGCTGATTAGAAAAGGTTTATATAGTAGAATCTATTCGTTCAACATTTGTTTCTAAGATTTTTTGTCAGTTGCTGATGATGATTTTCGTCGTGTTATAAGGTTTTGTTTTTCGTCTCTTTATACGTGGTTGCCTAGAGCGCTTCGAGATGTATAAGAAGGTGGTTTTTAGTTATTCCAGAAAATACTTTTAAGGAAAAAAATTCCAAAATACTTAACTACCCTAAAAACATCCCAAATGGCTGAATTTTCGAAAATACATTCAATCTATGTATTAACCTTCTTTTGAACATTTAAAACTGTTTTTGTCAGCATAAGGATTCCCTATACTTCCTAATGTTCCCATCATTTTCAGTCTTTGTTTAAGCAACTCAAAGTTCCTTATTTTTCGACACTTTTCGACTATAAAATTTCATTTGGCATATCGCGTTTTTAGAACTCCGCACTTTCAGCCCTTTTTCTTTCGTACATTTGTAGACATAACGATACATCTTTTCTGTCTTCAGGTGTATTGAAAATTAATATTTTTGTTTATCAGAAAACAGTCTTAGTCGAAATACACAACCAATTTGATTGATTAGAAAAACACGATAAGTTTATAAGTTTTTTAAATCACAAAAATGTTTTATAATATTTGGCTGTTTTTATATCATATAATCATACCTTTGATGTTGCTATAAACGGGTGCACTGCGAAAGTTTATGCGTCAGCCAGTGAATATCATAAACGAATATTGGCTATCATACAAGTATCATCGAAAGATGGGTATAATAATTGGCTGCTTGACGCCAAAAGATGATTTAGTCGCCGTTCTGGATGACGATCGAGCTTCACGCTTATTGACTGAATTTTTGCTCCTATTACTTCTTGTTGTTTGAGCAGTTGGTTTAACTTCTGTTCGTCTCTTGTTCGCTCATCATCAGAATTCATTACTGTTCTTTTTTGAAGTCCCTGTTTTCTCTCTTTCTCTACTCTCTCATAAATTTGATATCGTGGCATTACCAATTCCTGTTCCTGTTTATATCGTTCGAATTCTTCTTGTTTTTCATGAATTGCTTCTTGACATTGCGTTATTCTTACCAATGACTCCTTTTGTTTTTCTTTGTACTCCGCTTTCAGTCGTTTGAGTTCATCCACATTCAGTTTGATGTCGCACAATTTTTTATATGTTTTTGGTCGACACTTTTTAATTGCAAGAGCAAGTCTTACGCGAATATTCGCTACAGATTGTTCATCTGACGTATTTATCCGTGGTAGAAAACAAACGTTCAAGCTTGTCATTCCTAATAAATCTTGTATTTTTATCGTTGTTTCACCTTGATAATGTTCCGGAAGATGGCTAGGCAAATCATTCACGACAACCACAATCGATTTCTCATCAAATCCGTAGGCTGTATTAATAAGTTCAAATGCAAGAATATCTTCGTCTTTGATACGTCCACCGGCACCACCACCAAATACGAATATAACATAGGCTGTTGGAGATTTTTGAAATGCCTTGTATATCTCTTTTTTGTTCGAATCTATATTTTTTTGATCGGCCTCAACTAGACCTGGTATATTATATATGGTCAACCATTGGTTACCAACTTGCATTTCAGCATATTCTGTTTCATGTGTCACTGAGCCAGCATCACAGCCATGTTCGAATATTTCCTCTTTTAATAAAATATTTGCAAGTAAACTTTTTCCTACTCCAGAGTTTCCAAGGATAATAACACCATAAGAGCTAAAATCTGAGTCCTGAGCTATTGCGGTAGAAATGTTTGTATTGCTGGAACGATACGCAGTTAACTCTGATCCCATAGAGTCATATTGCAACGACCGTCGAGGGACATGAGAAAGACGCGCCAGATGGGGAGACGCTGGTCTTGCGGTAGCGTGGGAAGCATTCAGACGTCTTGGTGATATATCTTTCTTTGCTTGACACGCTTCCCTAAATCAAAAAATTGATCCCAATTAATCATTAAAAACTGCAGTGTTACACACTTACATTTGTTGCTGATCAAATCCGCTTGTTGACGAATCTAATGACACTCTTTTTGATGAGGAAGGCCCTCTAGTATTATCTGATTGCTGTAAAAAAGGTAATCACAGCTAAGTTAATAGGCGAAATATTAGCTGTTTATTACCTGTGACTGTCGGTCATTACATGTACGAGGGGCCATAGAGTCTCTGTTACTTTGCATAAATCTTTCGACAAACTGGAAAAAGTTTAAAAGAGACTTTCAATCATTGATTCTTAAAAGTGTATCCTCTTTCATAAGTGTTTCTGTTTACACTGGATTTTCGAAAATAAATAAAAATGACATATTTATATAAGAATTCCGACTATCGAATATAACTGAGAGGTTCTAGCTGTTTACCTGTTTGAACGAAGATTTATCAGACATTTTAAAATAAAAAGATGCGTTTATACAATAAAAGTGATTGCGTGATAGGTGGTGACCATTAACAAAAACTCTCTGACAACATTCTTTAAGAACTCAGTGTGCGCAAAAAAGGTAGAAGTGTCTCTTATCTCTACTCTAGAATAATTTTAAATATATAAAGGTAGATTTATCATAACTAGCAAGAGTTTTCTTACCTTGAGGTTGACTTTGTTTTGTGTAAGAGATAATACAGCCGTCTCACCGCTTGAGACGTCTCTCTTCATTCATATTCGACGAACAACCACAAAAACAAAATCATGTTTTTTGTTATTGTGAGTAAACAAGTTCAGTTCAGTTTATTGACAAAAACTCATAGCACTCGTTGTAAACATTGCTAGTACAAATATCACAACCAGAAATCCTGCTGTGCACTGATATACATACTAAAATAAACAACTACACTGATAAGCAAATATATAGAGTTAAGAGTTCGAACAATGGAGGAGGCTTCGCATGTAGTTAAAATAACATAACAAGAAGAAAATCAACCGTTTAGGACAATGCGGAAACTAAATTTGAATAAGCATAAGTTAGGTGCAGCTGATAAGGACTCACGAGGGAACCTCTTGAGGTTATAAATCGCTTTTGAACTCGGACTACTTGTATCTTGTAGATCTTAGTGAGTAGTGAAATATCCTAAGTTAGTTCATCCTCATGGTGCTTTGGAATGGAGTTATACCTATTTCAAGTTTTGATTGAAAGATACAATTTTGCTCCCAAATCTTTGATTTCTCAGTTGAACAAAGTCCGATAGATGTGATGTTTTTACTATGACTACTAGTCATAGCGGCCATACTCTGCTGAAAGTTTGAGCTATAGCATTCAACGTCTTCCATAGTTTTCGAAATTTTTGATAATTCTTCGAAATTTACCGCTATTACGTATGAGTTTGCTTCGAGATGAAAGCTTTGGTAGAGCTGATATTCTGAGTTCCCAAGGAGATAGTCATGAACTAAACATGGTAAAAGTTTGAGCTCATTCCACACTCGTAGACGCAGCTATACAGTTTTCGTTACCTGTAGTATGTGTTTATTCTTCTTCAGTAACATGTGAAAAAGAGAATAGAAGATCGATCAAAAGGACTGTTCTTGTTGATTGACACTGTTTAGTGCATGTGGTATTTGAGAAAGAAATGATCGAAGCAGAGGACTTTACTGCAGTAGCTACACGTATGAACGAGAACGAATCGCAAGGCGAAATATCACATTGTGATTGATCAAACTTGAAGCAAACGTCCGTCACCGTTTGAAATTAACCAGGATGATTGTCGACATAACCGCTCTTATACCATGCATAGCGAATCATTGGCTCATAGATGGGAGCCGAGATTTGGTTATGAATGAGCGAATGGAGTTTGATGAGATTGTTCCGTTGAGCCATTTGGATATCAATATCATCGAGGATGACACCATCGTAGATACGACGGGCAATGACCCTGTATTCATGGTTGAAGAAAACGTCAAGAGGTTGAATTTCGGCAGTTGTCGTTGGTGGAATTTCCATTCGTTTACAACCCTTGACTTTCTTATAAATCCCTTTCCCATCTCCTTGACCAGACCAGCTTTCCAAAAGTAGAAGAGTTCGTGACGAAGTGGCAATCGACGGGATGAGAACGCTGTCACGCCAATACTCAACCAGCGAAGTCATAAGTTTGTCTGAGGCACTGCATGTCACCAAGACGTTATTCCCTTTGAAGAGATTAGCCTTGATGTTGTCGCTCATTCGATCATTCGATTCTTTGAGACAGACAAGAACTGGTCCAACCACTTTACCGTTCAAGCTAATCATCGGTTGCACAGTGTAACTGTGAGTAGTGGCATTTTTCGAACGAACGGTCAGGAATGTTACTTTTTCGCCTTGATAACTGAGGGTGCGACTGGAATGTACCTCAAGTTCGAAACCAGACTGATCAGTACTTAAAACATTATCCTGTTTGTAGCGTGAAAGAAGTGCCCGTACGTCGGCCACGAACAGATCGGCAGATTTTTTAATATCGATCCACTTGCCGTTTTGTCACCACCTAAATCGAAAAAGTTGTTCTCCAAAGTTCTCATGTGCTTCTGTCTTTCATAGTCGAACACTTTATTAGCAAACAACTTCTTCAGGACATCAGTTAGGTGTTCGTATCCTTTTTATGGTAGCTAGAAGCGTTTTTCGCTCTTTTTTTATAAGAACGAGTCAGTTAGTATGAAAAAATGAGCAACATGACATGAGCTCTTTTCTGTGCTTTGATTGATGAAATTGTTCCGCCATCGTGTTTAATGAACGTCAAAACTAACCTTCGTTATTTTACGTGAACAAATATCATGTTTGTGTTTAAAATTGAGTAACCAAGTGTCGGACGCAGCGAATTCGTTGAATGACATTGATCTTGCTTGCTCATAGGCCCATCGCCTCAAATCGATGTCGTGAACAGGACAAAGCAAATCTCTAGCCCGCTCGAACTTGTCGTAGACGAAATTGGCAACCGAATCGACTTTCTGTTTTTTCGTTCCACCTTGCTCGACGTATTTACGAAAATTAGTAAGATAATATTGATAAGGAATACGTTGAAACTGATGTTTTACATTATTCCATGTGTGTTTCCTTTTACCTGTTTTGGGATCAACAGCATCGTAAAATTCAAGAGCCCATTTCATATAGGAAAGACTGAAGTCTTCGAAAACTAACGTTTCTAGATCTTCTCCTTCATAATCAGGATCTTGGGAGGGGTTATCCGAATCCTCTTCACATCCGTCGAGTTCCGAGTCAGGAGTTGAGTAGTTGATATTCGTGTGTGTACGAATGACTCGTCAAGATCGACACAAGTATTTCAAACAGATGGGTAGCCACCTCTTCTTCATCAACGACCGCGATGGATAATGATGCCGGTAGTTGTTGAGACACTTTATCGAGCAAACGCTGTGCAATCTTACTCGTAGCATTCATTCTCGTCAAGTAACGTTCAAGAAATGGAATCTTTCTTCCAAGCACTGATAAAAAGAATTGTGTGCGTGCAGATACATGTTTTTCTTCGTTCTCATACGTCGGTACGTATCAGATCAGTAGAACACACCAAAATAAATTTATTCTCACAGCATTCGAATCATATTTCAAATGACTCATATGGCTCTCATAGAAAGAGTTAACACATGCTACAGGTAATGAAAACTGTATAGCTGCGTCTAGGAGTGTTGGAATGAGCTCAAACTTTCACCATACGTAATAGCGGTAAATTTCGAAGAATTTTCAAAATTTTCGAAAACTATGGAAGCCATTGAATGCTATAGCTTAAACTTTCAGTAGAGCATGGCCACTATGACTAGTAGTCATAGTAAAAATATCACATCTATCGGACTTTGTTCGACTGAGAAATCAAAGATTTGGGAGCAAAATTGTATCTTTCAATCAAAACTTGAAATAGGTATAACTCCATTCCAAAGCACCATGAGGATGAACTAACTTAGGATATTTCACTACTCACTAAGATCTACAAGATACAAGTAGTCCGAGTTCAAAAGCGATTTATAACCTTAAGTGGTTCCCTCGTCAGTTAGTAGTGTTTTGCGGTCAACCGCAGTCTGCCAGAAGAAAAATGATTTTACCGTTAAATTCAGTAAAAGGTACCGTGACGCAGCTAGAATAGGTCTATTACGTTCCGATGATCTAGTGGAAGAGAAAGTAATCAGATTAGAAGAACTAAGTAATGAGTAGTTGTAGAATAAACGAAAAAACAAAAATTATTCCAATCCAGTGAACAACATCATTTTGTCCTTTATTCTTTTAGTAGATTCAATAAGAGAAAAACACATTTTAGTATTGCTTAGAATACAATTTTCGACTTCCGATTGATTTTTCTTGGTAGTTTGCTCTTTGCTGTGTTCTTAAGTGTAACTTCGTTATAAGACGAAATCGGCAGCCCGTCGTTGCCACGGAAAAAAAGATACTTTCAAGACGAAAACTCATCTAAGGGATACTTTGTGAACCAGTATCATGAATTGTTGTAGCATCAAGGTTATAATAATCATTCGAGTCATTATACAGTTTAGTGTACGTTTCGTTGTATGTAAAAAATGTATTTAATCTACCTTTCAGGGTTTAGATATGATGAACTGTATGCCCTGTCGCAGGGTTTCGCATCAATCGATGCTTTCTCCTTCCTACTCATTCTTTAAGAACATAACTGTGTGTAAAAGGTAATGTCTCTTATCTCTACTCTAGAATAATCTTAAATATATAAAGGTAGGTCTATTATAATTAGTAAAAAGTTTTCTTGCTTTTAAGATTTGTTTTCTGTAAGCGATAATACAACCGTCGTACCGCTTGAAAGCGCTCAACAGTTTTCTCTCTTCATATTCGACAAACAATCACAGGAACAAAATCATTTTTGTTGTTGTTGTGAGTAAACAATAATTATCCAATCTAACAAACAACATCATTTAGTTCATTTATTCTTTTACAGAAATATGAGTGAGTGTGGATTGATAATCCTCGGGAATAGTGGTGCAGAAAAGTCGTTTATTGCCAACATCTTATTAAACGAAGAATCATTTGTACATGAATGTAGTTCTACTTCAGTAACACATGAAACAGAATATCGAGACATATGTTTTGATGGACACTGTTACTCAATTTTTAACATTCCTGGTTTGGTCGAGGCTGATCAAGCGCGAATTGAATTAAATAAACAAGAGATTTATAAGGCATTTCAACTACGTCCGCTGTCAGTTGTTCTGTTTGTTTTCAATGGTGGAGCGGGTGGTAGATTAAAAGATGAAGATATTGTTGCCTATGAAGCTATTAACAGTGCTTACAATTTTGGTGATGCATCAATGGTATATATTGTTAATGAAGTTAACGTTCAGAAATTATTATTATTTTTATTTTTTGTCCCATCATAATAATATGAACTAGGTAACATACGTAATAATTGATTATGACGCCTTGCCAGCAAATCGCAAAGCAGACTATGATGCTCGAACAGCGATTACATTACAAAAATTGCTGAACAAAACTCATCCAATTCGAGTCTGTTTTTTAAATCGAATTAACGATTTGTCTGATGATAATGCAAAAGATAAACTTCGTGCACAATTAGCATCGTTCCTCATTCAATGTTCACCACATAATTATGAAAAACATGGAGATATTTCACTGCGTGCTGAAGATATTAGAATGCTAAAACAAGCTATCAAAGAAATGCAAGATCAATTCGAAAAGCAATTAGTAGTAATGCAAAGACAAATTGAACAAAAGCAACAAGAATTTGATGAATATAAGAAAACTACTCGAGAAGACATTGAATTTTATAAAGGAGTAATATCAAGAAGTGAAATATCAGAATCCGGTCGAATATGCAGTATCAGCTAAATACTTGTACTTAGTTCCCAGTGATCCTGCATATTGGAAGAACAGCTTAAGCTGTATGAATCGTAAGCTCGAATAAACGACTATGGTCTCGCATCTTTGCTGTGTTTTTAAGAAAGAAATAATTACATGTCTAGAATAAAGAGGATGAATTCTTTTTTACTTGTGTGTGTCGTTGCGCTGAAAGACGTCCTGTTTGAACTGGATATTCACTCGCAGAATTTAACACATCATTTTCATAGCGTTCTTCAAAAACATCTAATATTAATCACCAAGTTACAATTAACTGCATAAACTAAATCTCATTAAAGTGAATCATCTTTCACTTTCTCTTGATAATGATCCTAAACTATTAGGTTTACGTTTTTCGCCCGATCATAAGTGGTCTACTCACATTAGTGAACTTGCTTTGCAAGCGCATGCTAGAGGCTTTAAATTGAGTATTCTGAGACGCACCCCAAGGCATTCGTTTGACCCTTTACAGGACTTGCGTTGTACCCAAAATTGACTATTGCTCGGCAGTTTACGACTCAAACTTTTCTACATATCTTGCTCCACTAGGTTTTCTTCAGAAGTTTGCGGCGCGCATTATTACCAAAAACTTTGATCTTGAAACAGACAATAGTACTCTGGCTACCCAGCTACAATCGCCTGATCTTACAGTGCGCAGGCGCTATTTTCGCCTTGTCTCTTTTTACAAACTACATAATAAGCTTTTTCTCCTCAATCGTCAAGCGTATATAACTGCAGTTAGGAACACGACGGCACTTCGCCGTAGCACGAATGCTCAAGCGGTAGGAGTGCCTTTTACCACCTATGAGACAGTTCAGTCCTCTTTTTCCTGAAGAATCCCTAATGACTGGAATCCTCTACCAATGGAATATATAGTCTCAAAACCATCTCTCTCTGCTTTTAATGATACTCTCAAACTCTTTCTTCAAATGTGAGACTAATGGTGTGTTTTTTTTATCAATATTTGTACTGTTTCTTTTTTCCTGTTATTTTGCCCTCTTCTTTATAGGCCTGCCCAGTGAAAAAAAACGAGCGTGATTCCGCAAGTTCCTGGGGGAAAAATGAAACATTTTCACGCGGGAAGTGAAAGTCTTCTGCAGGAAAAGAAGCACTTTTCCCGCCGCATTCTGCAGGAATC